TACATGTCAAGCCTCCACAACCTACGATCTAACCCCTGCAGAGGCTGGTAGTCAAAGACAGGTAAGAGAAGTGTAGAGAAATATCCAACCTAAGACAGAGCATGAGTATCAAAATTCTCATGGCTTGATGACAGGTAAGGGATTTCTCTGGACATTTCTCACCTAAGACAGGCACAGTCTTTCTGCTGAGCTGGGAAAGTCCCTGCTCTAAATATAATAAAAAGGGGGCTATGTGGGGGCCCAGTCATGGCCCACTGGAGTTTGACATTTGGAAAATAACTTCTTCCTATATAATTAAGGCATCAACATTTGCTGCTTTTCAAGGAAACAGTTTGTTGAGCTTGTTTTGATTCTTTGACCCTGACATAACAGGAAACTCGTTAGCCAAAGATCTGATGTTATCTGTAAGAGTCAGGAAATCCGGTCTTTACATAAAGATAAAAACAACTGCTTGGTGTTTTCTGTTGTTGTGTGCCCTTAAAAGCTTCCTGTTGATGTGACCCTATAAAAGGAGCTGTTTTTCTGAAATAAATCAGACTTCTCTTCGTCTCCACTCAGGCTTGAGTGTTCTTTCCTTTCTCAATCCTCACTCACCGACTCAGGCACGTTTGTGTTGTGACGGCTGGACCACCACAGCGATCCCCCTGCCTCAGCCTCGTGAGTGATGGGATTACAGGTGTGCACCATCACACCCAGCTTTTAATTTTTTTTAATATTACTTTTTTGCAGAACTGGGATTGAACTCAGGACCTTGAACATGCCAGGCAGGCTCAGTACCACTGATCTAAATCTCAGACCCTAATTTTACTTTTCATAAGTACAAATTTGCAGTACATAATGATTACACTCCTTGTAGAGAGCTGGTAAACGTACATTTTTTCTTCATCTTCCCACATCTCTTGGTTCCCTTACCCTTTGCAAAAGATCTCCCTATTATCTGTTATCTGATTTTATTTTTAGTTTCAGTTTCTTCAATGTTTAAAATTGTGTGTCTGATTTATTTCACTTAACATTATGGTCTCAAGGTGAATCTGATTTCCTATCTGTATTTTTAAAGAGTGCATAAGCAGTGCATAGGCAGAAGTAAAAGGTAAGTCCTGCTGTTTGTCAATTATTTCCATGTCTACCGGCCTTCTAGAATCATGGTACAACTGAACTTCTACACCTCTTGGTAGTAGATGGGGACACATAATTGGTTCTGGCCTTGAGTTCAGAATGAAAATGTTATGTCATGATCAGACAAGAGCATTAAATTGCCAACATGTGACCTTTCACCACTTTCTTCTCTCTCACATGGAAATTAACAAAGCCTAAGATGCCAACTGTTCTGTTAGCTTAAGAGAGGGAGGAACTACAATAAATAAAAGCTCCTGCCTACCCACTGGAGACAGACCACACAAACAAGAAAACAAACCTTGGTTATTCTAGGGCTCTTGTTTGTTACTGCAGCATAACCTATCCTATCCTGAGTGATACAAAACTCTTCACAAAAAAAAATTCAAAGACTTTCTCCCTGGAAAAAAGGATGTATTACAATTCTATAGAAAGGAAGTGTATAGAATATTATTAGCACTTCCCCATTATTAAACAGTCAAGAAGTCTTAGGACAATATGATAACTGTATTACCTGGGGGGGGTATTTTTGGAGAAGTTTAACTGGTAAATTGGTGAACTTTTGGTATATTGTCTCCCAGGATGTAAGGTCTCATCCAAACAGTTCAGAGCCAGGCTACAACAAAAAGAATGGCTCCCAAGCAAAAACTCTCTAGCAGCCTGTGGAACTTCATTCACACATTTGGCTCCCCTGAGTCTCAAGCCTGCTGACCCATGCTGCAGATTTGGACTTGTCAGCTTCTATAGTTATGTCAGCCAATTCCTTAGAATAATTTGATATTTGCCCACAAACATATAACCATGTACACATCTCATTAACTCAGTTTATCTGGAGAACCCAATTAATACCTATAGACAGCTTCTCTCAAAGTATAAAATACATATGAAAATAAGCAGAGAAGACTGTTTTATTTATTGTCTTGGATACATGTTCCTTTTATGCTCATTTTTAGTTGACAACAATCATATGTATTTATGATGTACAACATGTTTTCAAATATGCATGTTATAGAATGACTAAATAAAGCTAATTAACAAATGTATTGCTTCACATATTTTTTTTTTTTTTCAGAACCAGGGATTGAACTCAGGATCTTGCACCTTTCAGGTTGGCACGACACCACTGAGCTATATCCCTGGTCCATACTTATCTTTTATATGTGTGTATTGACAACACTTAAAAATGCTAACCTCTTTAATCCATCTCTTGAACATATTTTTTCCAGTCTAACTGAAATTTTGTATCCTTGGATCAACATATCCCTAGTTACTTCATCAGGATATATTCTCATTTCAATAAAATACATTATTACTAGAACATAAAAAGTGTGTACTGCCCCATGTTCTCTCAGTTATCAACTTTTACCACTATCTACTACTGGTGGCTATTCAGGGTATACTACCCTGAAAACTCTGAAAATCCTATAAAAATTATTTAGTAATAAAAGGTTGAATTTTAGTAATGAACTGTTGAAATCATGTTGAAAGAAGTAGGAATTATTTTTAAGTGAGTCAGGTTAAACTAGAAACAGAAGTGGAGAAATCTTGAGCAGACTTTGGAAACCTAAAAGAGGTCTGATTGAAGGTGACGCAATTCTTCCTAATCTGGGCCTAAAGGTAGGCAGAAATTCACTTTGTATTATATACTGGCAATTAAGCTATTATCACAATGCTACAAACCCACCCTTCTGTAACCTCTATTCTTTCTGATGCTGAAAGAGACACTCTGAAAATTGTTCCTTTTCCAGCTGCCTTTTTTTTTTTTTTTTTTTTTTTAAAGACAGGGGCTCACTTTAGTTCAGGCTGGCCTCAAACTTGTGGCAAACCTCCTGCCTCTACCTCTCCAGTGCTGTGATTACAGGCATATGCCACCACACCCAGCTCAGATGCCTTTCTTCTGGGTTCCCCAATAATGAGTATTAAACAGCAGCTAGAAGAATGAAAGAGGAATTCATTCTATATTTCTTTCTTATTATACTCATGAACATCAACCCCCAAAAAAATGGCCATTAATTACTCTCTTCAGCTTATTTTTGGTAGTTGTATAAGAGCCCTGTTCCCAGCTAGTCAGCAATACCACCAGAAGCTAAGCAATGCTCCTTTCTTAAAGAACTAAGTCCCAGTGCTAGCAGCTCTCCAAACATCTAGATTCTATTGTTGGCAATCTTGTCCCTTTGTTCTCATAGCCCAGGAGATGGTAACTGTTTCCTGAAGTCACTATTCCTGCATCACCTCAGTGTGCTACTTTTGCTTTTCCAGTTCTCTAATATCTGTTTAATAATTTCCTTGTATTACACTGTCTTTTTAAATAACTATTGGTTTGTTTTCCTGGCTGTACCCAACTGACACATGCTTCACAGTTAAAAATAGGACAAAATACTGCTGAAAAGCTTTTTCTAAATATAAAACTGGGGCTGGGGATTTAGCTCAGTGGTTCCTCCACCTGCCTTGCAAGCGCAAGGTCCTGAGTTCAATCCTCAGTACCAAAATATATATTTTAATATATATTTATTTATATAAGATATATAATATAAATTGTATATAAATTATTGTATGAATTATATAAATATATGAATGCTATACATTATATAAATATATATACTGGGGGGGTACTGAGCTCAAACCCAGGGTCATGCACATGGTCTACCTCTAAGCCATAACCCCACCCCCTCAAATATTCTTCCCTCAATGCTTTTTAAAAGGAGAGCTTTCCTTAAAAATATATACATTCTATTGTTATTATTGAGCTTTTAATGTTCCTAGAAAACTGTAAGTCTTCACCAGCACCTGAAAATACAGAGTATATTTAATTATATGGAAACAGCATTTATCACAAATTCATATTTTTCTATCTCAGAGTTAAATCTGTGGGTAATACACACATCTCTCTAATTGTTTTCAGAGAAAAGACAGTCTTTGTGGGGTTTTGGTTTTGGTTTTTTTGTATCAAGAATCAAACTCAGGACCTTGTGCTTGCCAGGCAGGTGCTGTGGCGCTGAGCTAAATCCCCAGCCCAAGAAGACACCATTTGGAGAATCACACATATTTATGACATTTAAGTTTTCAATAAACATTATTTTTAACATACCCTGAATTTGTATGTCTCCAATTCCTATATGGATCATATAAACTTTCACAAAATGCCAGTGCATGGATCACAAATTCTTCAACAGCTGTCTGATCCACCATTTCCTTCTCTTTTTTCTTACTTTTTAACTAAGAATAAAATTGAACATATTAAGACATGGAGCATTCATCATCTAACAATACATCATTATTATTCAAATAAGTCTGATTTCCTAAAAGAGTCATTTAATCATATGGTCTAGTTAAATCTTCTCAATTTTTTTTTTTTTTTTTTTTTTTTGCAGTACCAGGGATTGAACTCAGGACCTTGCACTTGTGAGGCAAGCACAGTGTCACTGAGCTAAATCCCTGGTTCATCAAATTTTAAGTATTTCTTAGGAAAGCTTTAAAAATAGTCAAGTATTGTTTGAAAAAAACAATGTATTTAATAAGATGCAATAATACATAAAATCACAAACTCATTTAAAAGTCACTTATAAACACTTGAATTTATAAATCGAAATAACATTAATGGCTACTTGTCTATCTTTTGATGGTATGTGTAAGATTTCTGAAATATACATTACCCAATGATAATTTAAATTCTCTCACTTTTTAACCTGTCCTAAAACATTTAATTATATCAACTATAAGATAAAAAAGTAAAATCTATATATCCTCAAAAAAGCAAAAAGGAATATATCAGTTTACACCTACTTGCTGAATATAGAGTGTTGTCATAGTGATGACATGATTAATATATGAGCATGTTCCAATTTCTTCCACATTTGATAAATTTCTAGGAAGATAAAAGAATCATATATAAAAATGGCAAATAAAATGTGTGCTCATGCAAGAATTTTGAGAGCAGATGATGACAAACAAAATACAAATAATATTTATTTAAACATAAAACTGTATTAGCCAAGTATGTGTGAGGCCCCACAATCAATCCCTAATACATAAAACAAAATAAAACCCAACAGAGTTATATAACTTTTTTCCCACTAAGATGTGAAATATACTTAAACACTATGTAACTATTATAAACAAAATGTTTATGATATATTTTACAGTATCTCAAAGATTTGCATGTACTTATTACAGGAAAATTAGAAAATATCAAACTAGAAACGAAAGGAAAAAATTTTACAACTCAAATAATAAGCAATTGTATACATCTAGATTATTTATTTACAGGTTGTCTTTTTCTTATGAAGACTCTTAGTTTAGTGTTTATATATAATATTACCATTATATTGCACATGTTGCTTTATAGTTTTCACTTTTCTTTTTGAATGATAATTCCCTTTTGAGGCTTACATTGTATTTCCTCTACTATATTAAAAATCTCTGATAGAACCATTGCCATCTTTACATACTCTAAAAGGGCAAAGTATCAAACCTTGTTTGAAACATCTGGTCAATAAGTGATTGATGCTTAATTAAAATTAACCCTCATTTTACTCCTTTTATTTGTTTGTTTGTTTACCGGGGATTGAACTCAGGACCTTGCACTTGCAAGGCAGGCGGCAGCACCACTGAACTAAATTCTGGCCCTTCACTCCATCTTTAAAATAAAATTTAGGTATAACACATAATATGTTAACATTTATTATATCAAAGTATTTTTCTTGGCATAATTATAAAAAGTAAAGATTAATTTGTTCTGAGACACTATGACTTTGTAAACCACTTTTATCTTAAAATACAATAGATGGTAAGAAAACAACTAAGATTAACAGACTTTTTTTTTTTTTGGTGGAATGGGAATTGAACTCAGGACCTTGAACTGGCCTGGCAGGTGCAACACCACTGGGCTACATCCCCGGCAACAGGCTTCTTAATGTAGAGGTCAAAGTGACATGACATTTTGGTTTATCCACATAAGGCTATAATGAAAAAGGATGTGTTGGCAAGGATGAGAAGAGAACAAAACTCATACATTGCTGATGGGTAATGTACAGCTACATTGGAAGACATTCTGACAGTTTCTCAAGGGATTAATCAATGAGTTACAATGTGATCCAGCAATTCCACCCCTGGGTATATACTCAATAGGCACAAATATGTATGTCCACACTGAAACTGATACACATGTTCAGAGAGCAACAATATTCACGCCAACCAAAAACAGATAAAAAGGCAAGTATCTACCAACTGATAACCAATAAAATGTGGTTTATCCATACATTGGATTATTCAGCCATAAAATATATCATGTATCAATAAAGGTTTAAAAATGTACTGATATATTCTACAAAAGTACTGATATTCTAAGAAATGGATTTACCTTAAAAACATTATGCTATGTGAAGGAAGCTAGTCACAGGGACCACATGATAGATGATTTCATTGCTACAAAATATTCAGATCAGAAAATAAATTAGTGGTTGCTTGGGGATAGACATAGGATAAGTGTAGGATCCTATTAATGAGTGCAGAGTTTCCTTATTGGCTTCTTTTCTTATGTCAGTTCTAAAACTGACAGTGGTGATGCCACAATTCTGTAATACATTAAAAGCCACTCTGGTACCAAAAAAAAAAAAAAAAGCCACTGAAAGATTTTTTTTTTTTTTTTTTTTTTTTTCTTTTTTTTTGCTTTGAGACAGGGTCTCATTTTCCATTCCAGACTGTCATTGAACTATGTAGGCTGACCTCAAACTCATGGCAAACCTCCTGTCTCAGTCTCCCAGGTTTTGAGATTACATGAGTGTGCCATCTGGCCCAGTAGAATGATATATTTTAAATGGGTGAGTTGTATAGCATGTAAGTAAATTAACTGCTCAATAAAGTTTAAATATTAAAAAATCATAACAAAAGTTAAAGCTGAATTAGTGTAAAGACATAAATCCAAATGAAAATAGTCAAATTGATTAACATTAGTATAGAATTAAATTGATCAGTTGGGCATTATTTGGCTTCATTAGAGTTCTACATATACTACAGCTACTTATGATGGGGGAGTAGTTAAGTACAGATTATATCAAAATTTCAAAAGTATCTTTAAAGTCAAACAGCAAAAGAGGAAAACTGTCAGTTTTGAAAGACTATGACTACAGCCGTGCCTATATTTCTGTCAAAACTCTTTTATCTAAACTCTTACCTTTGATTTTCATAAATTAAGATTTTTTAGTTTCTGATCTAACATGTAGAGTTTTGGAAGTCATCATTCTGGTCTTCACAAGGAAAAAGCTAAATAAACTAAAAGTCAATAAATCTAAAATCCATAATAAACTAAAGAAAAAAAACTAAAAAAAATAAATAAAGATAAAATATACTGTAACCTCCAACCCCCTGCTCAGAACTGGAGATGGAATCTGGGAACCTCACTTGTATTAGGCAAGTGCTCTACTACTTATCTACTGTTCTCAGCCCTTTTTAAATTTTATCTTGAGATAAGTTTTTGCTAAGTTGTCAGGCTGGCCTCAAATTTACAATCCTCCTGCCTCAGCCTCTTAGTAACTGGGATTAGAGGTGTATACTACCTTGCCTGGCTTTATTTTTCTTATTTGTAATGATCGTAATATAATAGCTTGTCCAAAATAATAACACCAAACACATACTAGGTGTTTACAGCTTGTGGACAAGGAAATGAATGACAACATTGCAAGAAAATATAGGAGAAAAACCTAAGTAATGATGGGTTTGCCAATGATCTTACAGATGTGAAACCAAAAGCATAATCCATGAAAGAATTGATAACTTGAACATCATTAAAATTTAAAACTTGTTTTAAAACTTCTGTTCTGGAAAATATAAGAACAAAATAACAAGTCAGATACCATGAGAAAATATGTGCAAGAGACAACTGATTAAAAAAAAATCTCAAAAACCAAGTTTCAAAATCTTAAGGACTTTTTAAAATTTAATAGGAAAATAACTCAATTTGGGGGGGGTATTGGAGATCAAACTCAGGACTTTGCATTTGCCAGTCAGTGGCAGCATCACTGAGCTATATCCCCAGCCCAGAAAATAACTCAATTTTAAAGTTGGGCAAAAGATTAATACAGATACTTCATAAAAGAAGATAGAGATGACAAACAGGCATATGAAAAGATGTTGAACATCTTACATTATTGGGGATCTGCAAATTAAAGCAATGAAATATTACACAAACTACAACAGCTAAAATCTAAAAAGACAGTATCACCAAATAATAGAAATATGTGGAGTAAAAGGAATTTTCATTTACTGCTAGTGGGATTGAAAATGGTACAACCACTGTAGAAGATAATTTGGCAGTTTCTGATAAAGCTAAAGTATAAACTGTCCATATTATACAGCAATTATATTCCTAGGTATTTACCCAAATGGGTTTAAAATTTCTTTCTATGCAAAACCTGAGCATTAATGTTTACAGCAGATTTATATGTAATTGTCAAAAATTGGAAATAGCTAAGACGTCCATTAATAAGTAAATGAGTGAACAAACTACAACATCCATTAGTCAAATAATGTTCAAGAATAAAGAAATGTGCTATCAAGCCATAAAAACAAGAAATGGAGAAACCTTACAAGCATACTTCTAAGTGAAAAAAGCCAGTCTGAAAAGGTATTTAGTGCATGATTCCAAATACATGACATTTTGGAAGTGGTAAAACTACAGACATAGGGCCAGGGATCTAGCTCAGTAGCACCACACCTGACTGGCAAGCACAAAGTCCTGAGTTCGACTTCCATACCAAAAAAATAAAAAATGAAAAACAAAACTACAGGCATAAAAAGATCAGTGACTGCCAGAGGTTGTGGCAGTAGGTGGATGGTGAAAGGACTGAACAGGTGGAAAAAGGTCATGTACTGGCAGGTGAAACTGTTCTGTATAATGGTGTGTACATGACAATACTCATATATCAGAACTAAAGAATTATACAGCACAGTATATAACACTATTGTATTCTATAGACTTTAATCATGTATTTGCCAAAACCCACAAAACTATACAATACAAATAGTAAGCCCTGATGTATGCAAAAGACTTCAGTTAATAATGTATTGATATTGGTCCATCACTTGTAACAAAAGTGCCAAACTAATGCAAGATGTTAACACTATAATGGAAAAGAATGAAGAAAGCAGTATAGAGAAATTTACCATATTTCATTATTTTATTCTGTAAACATAAACCCTATTAACATGTTAAAAGCAGCTTTAAAAAAGTAAAGTCAAGGGGCTGGGGATTTAGCTCAGCGGTTCGGTGGCTTTCCTTGCAAGCACAAAGACCGAGTTCAATTCCCGGTACCAAAAAAAAAAAGTCAAGTCAAGTCTCTGAAATAGGAACAAATTCTATGACAGCTGGCTACTAAAGTTAAACTTAATAGTGATCTCCTACTTAAAAAGATCAAGTAGAGTGTGGGTTAAAAATAAAAAAGATCAAGTAAATGTGGTGAGCATTTCTGTGCTTCTCTATCAAAAACTGAACATAATGGATTTAAAACAAATACCTATAGTAATTTTGATTTCAGTAAATATAGTAGGTAGTTAAAAGGAGAAAATATACAAAAAAAATTAGCTTGGAGGCCAACTCTTATCTTACTGAGTAAACCTTTTTTCAGCCATTCTTATATTTTTCTTATTATTTTTCTAAATTTTAAGGAAAAAGAGCATGAAAACAGAAATTTGTTAAGGTTCTTGGAGAGTTGAAAGTAGCAGCACAATACTTTAGCTATTGTTGCTCAATCATCCCATAATTCCTAGAATCAAAGGCAATGAAAAATTAAGTCAAAGGTGATTTAAAAGTATTAATTATAAAACTAATTATAAAACATTTATAAACAAATAAGTGTATATTATATATATGGGAAATGGCATCCAAAAAGGTGGCAGATTATAAGACGCACATTAAGCCACTCATCAATGGTTCTTCTACATAGATTAGCATGGAACACTTTTAAAAATCAAGATGTTTAAACCTTTTTAAATCACAATTTCCTTAAGTAAAGCTCAAGTTCTGTATTTCAACTAGGCATTCAAGTTGATACTTATACATACCAAGATTTAAGTACCACAGACCTAATTAATAAAACTGGAAAATATAATAACCTGTAAAATTATTGTATTTTATTTGTGAAATGATAAAATGAAAGAGCTAAAATATATAATTTCACAAATATAATGAATAGTAATAAAAATGTGCATACAGAGGCTGAATATAGCATAGGTAAAGTGCTTGTCTATCATGCAAGAGGCCCTAAATTCAATCTGCAACATCAAAAAAAAGTACACATTTACAGCTGAGCAACACAGAAAAAATACTGGTATAGTCATTTCTCACTGAAGTAAAAACCTATCACTATCTTTATGCTCAAGTAACACTTAAAAATCTTGGTTGAGGGTCGCTGTAATTAACTACACTAATTAAAAGATTTGCAATGTATGAAGAAATGACAAGCTGATTATAAAAGGTCGTCACACTCTAAAGATCTGCACAAACAACAAATATCATTAATAATCAATGTTATGGCATGTATATAGATGTCTCTCCAAAGCCTTACGGGTTCAAAGGAAGAGGAGGCGGGATGTAGGGTGTGTGATAATGGGATCAACAGTGTGGTGCTGTGACTGATTTATGGTATGATACTAGGATTAAGGATGACCAGCCTATGGGCAGGTATGAGCACTAGCCTGGTATGAGTGTTAGCCTAAGGGCAGGTAGCCTGGGTAGAATATAAGGGACAGAAACAGGGCTGCTGCTTGCTACTTCACTGCTTTGCTGTCTTCTGCGTACCATGAACTGTTTTTCCTCCACGATGCCCTGCCATGCCACCCTGCCTTGGAGCCACACAACTATGAACTGAGGCCTCTACAAACTGTCCTCCTTTAACTTCAATAAATAATAACCACAATAAACCTATCCTCCTTTAACTTCGAGTGTCAGGTATTTTGTCTCAGCAATGACAAAAGTAACTAAGACAATTAATAAATGGATCAGATGAGTAGCATACATCTCTAATCTCAGCACTCAGAAGGCTGAGGCAGGATTGCCCCATGTTGTTTTTGTTTGTTTGTTTGTTTGTTTCATAGAAAACACTGCTTTATTATACATGAGAAGTGGAGAGGGCTCCCCAGGACACAGGCCCTGGAAGCCCGCATGAGTGAGGACAGGGTGGGACTGTGAGCTATGCAGCAGCAGCAGCAACACAGAATCATGGAGGCCACAGTAGACATTGGCCACACTGAGGTGACCATACATTCTGCTGCTCATTAAGGTTGTGAACATGGACAATGTACAAAAAGGATAAATAGATCTTTCCATTAATGAAAAATACATTTTTCTATATAAAGAAATCTTTTCTAATACAAGAAAAAAATACTGCAACATTAACCAAAAATAATTCAAAATTGCCCTTTTCAATATTTCTCTTGTATATTAACAAATGACACATCACTTTCTTTGAAACAAAGACAGAAGGTGTCTGCTCTGTGACATTCACAACATCCCACCCCATTACCTTTCCCCATATGATCCGGAGCACAAAGGTCTGCGTATCTGAGGACAAGGGTAGAAGGAGGGGTTACCCCAAGTTTGAAGCCAGTGTAGGTTTACATAGTGAGTTCAAGACCAGCCTGAACTACATAGTGAGATCCTGCTTCAAAAAAGAAATAAACCACACACACAAAAAAAAATCACAAAACCAAAACCAAGAAATCTATTATTGTTATTTTGGTAATGATTACTTTTTTTTTTTTTTTTTTTGGTACCAGGGATCAAACTCGGGTCCTTGTGCTTACAAGGCAGGCAGTGGAATCACTGAGCTAAATCCCTGGACCTTTAAAGTGTTTTGTTTTGTTTTGTTACTGGAAATCGAACTCGGGTCCTTGTGCTTGCAAGGCAAGCGGCAGAACCACTGAGCTAAATCCCTGGCCCTAATGATTACTTTTAAAAAATTAGTTTGTATTTTTATAGCAGATACCTGCAAAGAATAATGAAGAACTTGACAAGCAAAACTGACAAAGCTTGTTGTTGTTCCTCCAATCCATCTGCCATTTTCTGAACACATTGTAACAGCTGGATCCTCAGAACTTGCAGAATATTATCAGGAAGTAGAGATATTCCTGGAGGCATATCATCTACCCTACAATTGAGGGGAAGAAAATAGTGTTGAAATACAGGAAGAAAATCTCTAGCACTTAAATAAACTGTATTTTCAGCCTAAATCCAAAGGACGTGCTTTTTTTTCCAGATATTCCATAACTCCTTGTCTGTAAGCACGACTCATAACTAAATTATTATAGCAGAATGATTAATCTTATTTCAGAAGAGACTCATATTTTCAATTATTCTGTTTTTAATTAAAATATGTATAAATTATATAATATGATACAGAAATTCATAAATATACATTTTGTCATCTGCTTTACTCAACACTAATGCCCTACTTTATACATTCCCCAAGCCATATGATCATAAGATGGAGAAACGATAAACAGCAAAATGAGAAAGATGAAAAAATGAATATAGATTCCATACATGAGCATTAACAGATTTTTTCAAGTTTGTGACAAATGGCTATGTGTACAATATGGTTCTTTAAAGGCAAATGTCCACATCAGATTAAGTAACTCCTCTAGGGTCTCCCTCACAATAAAAGCACATTCTTGAAAAAATGGAAACAAAGTCTTTGTAAATAGAGAGGGGTGGAGGGATGAAAGGGAAGGCAAGAGAATGGGAAAAAAATAAGAATCAAGATATGTTATTAGCTCAGTGGTTCTGCAGCCTGCCTCGTAAGTGCAAGGTCCTGAATTCAATCCCCAGTACCACAAAAAGAAAAAAAAAAAAAGACATATTATGTAAAGGTACAACTCTCCAATGATGTCATTATATTGTATATCTAAAATGTACCAATAAAATTAATTTTTTAAAAGTTCAAAATGATTTTTGGATCAAACAATTCAATTTTCTTCATCAAAACTATTATATACCAATAATATAACTAAAATGTTTATCAATAATGTCTTTTTCTAGGGCTGGGGATTTAGCTCCGTGGTTCCACCACCTGCCTCACAAGCGCAAGGACCCGAGTTTGATCCCCAGTACCAAAAAAATAATAGTAATAGTCTTTTTCTGATTTTGATATTATTCTATATATTTGTTTTTCTTTTACTGTGCCAATCTACCCTTGTTTACTATGATGGCCATCTATCTTTATCTGTATTATATCCTTTTTGTTTGTCATACACACAGTTTGTTAGGTCTTTTGAACAAAAATAATTAAATAAATAAATAACAAAAGCCCAGACTAGATTCAAAGTCTGAAGACCTAGGGAGTAAATTCCACCTCTGTAACATAGCACTGGTCATTTTATCTCTGATGTTATTTCAATCTATAAAATTTTAATATTATCTGGCCTATTTCACAGGGCTCTAAATCCAGAACTTCAATATGTATTTTTTGCTGTGAAATACACGAAAAATTATAAAAATGTACACCATCACTGAAGCCTAAGAATTTTTTATAAAGCCGATAATTTTTCTAATTCTATGAAAAATGCCCAAATCTCAGAACAGAGTTCCTATAATTAACTGACATTTATAATTTAAATCTCTTCAAATAATGCTTTATGTGAGCTATTACTAGTACAGTACTTTTACACTGAATAAAAGGCTATCTGATTCACTGTAGATAAAAAAAATTGAAGTATAATACCAGTACTCACACAAATAAATAATATAATTGGCCTTCTTAATCATTCTCTAACATAAAAAACTTTCACAAAAGTTACACCTGATTTTAATTAAATTATACAGGCAATAACCCTAAAAACACATTATAAAGATTGACAGATTCTATAACCATGTTACAAAAACACCATGCTTCATTTTAGAATGGGAACTACTTCAGTTGTAGCTTCAATTTGTTCATTCTCTTATTCATAAGCAGTACCAGAAAATCTCTCATTGTCATACATACATAAAAAGTTACACCTGATTTTAATTAAATTATACAGGCAATAACCCTAAAAACACATTATAAAGATTGACAGATTCTATAACCATGTTACAAAAACACCATGCTTCATTTTAGAATGGGAACTACTTCAGTTGTAGCTTCAATTTGTTCATTCTCTTATTCATAAGCAGTACCAGAAAATCTCTCATTGTCATACATACATATATATAATTCAAGATAATAACAAAGACTCAAGATAATAACAAAGACTTAAATATAATTTTTGAGATTAAGTTAATCTTTTTTCTCTACTTTTCAAAAACAAACATGTCTTTAAGAAGGAAACAGAATTTTTCCAGTAATCCATAGTAATTTAAAAGATTTAAAGGATTATTTATCTGTGGTCTTCCCATTCTACACTGCACATTTTAAAAAATAACTGTCAAAAGTAATTAGCTTCTAAAAGAGCAATGTATCTTTTTTACTTTGTTTTGAACTTGTTTTCATCATAAAATTAAGGCTCTGTTGAAACATGCCTTAGAGGTAAAGTTAAAATTCTTGGCCATGTTTTAAAATGATAAGCATTTAAGAACTTAGAAGCATTTTACTAGAATTTTATTGCCCAAAATTATATGCTTTTTTCACTGAAATTTCCCAAACTCTAAAAATTTCTTCCACTCCGTTTGAGTACTGAATATCTATTAAACAGCAGCAATAATCATGTCTAATACAGGAAGAAGCCTAGCTTAAAGTTTGTTCAAGGCTTTAAATTCTAGAAAAAGCAATTTGTCCATCATTTTGAAGTCACTAATACAGAAATGCTATTAAGGAAGTTTACTTTACATGGCAATTATACATGAGTTTCTTACCTTTAACTAATTTTATACAGTGTTGTGCACATATTCTGTACTTGAAAATATGAATGTTTTCCATTAGTAAAATCTAAATTCATGGTTCAAAGGGGATCTTTTGTTTTCATTCTGAGGAATTGAGAATTGAATCTAATTCCTTTGCGCCTAGCTATAACCTTAGCCCTTTTAATTTTTTTAGATAGGGTCTCACTAAATTGCTAAATTGCCCAAGCTGGACTCAAATATCTATCCCCAACAATGGTGGCACACCTCCTGTAATCCCAGCACTCAAGAGGCATACGCAGGAGGACCGCTGTGATTTTTAAGCCAGCCTGGCCTAATAGTGAGTTCAAGGCCAGACTGAATTACCCTGTTTCAAAAAATAAATAAATAAAAACAATACTGTTAGTATTTGTCATCTTCATCCTGTTAACCATTGTAACTGTATAAATCCACACAATGTTTTTAGAAATGATTCCCCAGTAATCTCTTTATAATGTATAGATGATATCTGCACCTTAGAAACTTCAGAAACCTCATTCCAATACGCCAAATATTCAAAGGCCCAAATCCTAACTCTATAAAATTCAAAAGCCCATGATTTAAAGTGAACTATAAATTATTAAAGTAAAAGCAGTTATGCTCAGCAGCATGCACTGTTATCCCAGTGATCTGATAGGCTGAGGCAAAAGGATTACAAGTTTGAGCCCAGCCTGGGCAATTTCCCCGTACTGCAAAAATTCATTAATTAATTAAATTAAAGTACTTCTAGGCACAAACTACATTAATACTTTTATTAGTGGAAATCAAAGCATAGTCTTGGTGTTGTTTGATTTTTGTTTTTTGAGACAGGTCTCACTATGTAGTTGAGACTGACCTAAAACTCACTATGTAGCCCATCCAGGCTGGTCTCGAACTCACAGCAATCCTTCTGCCTTAGCCTCCCCAGTGCTGGGAATTCCAGACGTGAGCCACCACGCCCGGCCTCAAAGCATAATCTTAACAAAAACCTATCAATTAATATCCTGATGAGAAAGAAATCTGAAACTGAATTTATAAAGTACTGATCCTTTCTGAGGACAACTGCATCAAGTAGTTTCTTCTCCAGATTATTACTACCTCTGCCTGAGTTCCTTGCTTTCAGTTTCCACCCTCTCCAATTCTTCTTCTACAATGCCAACAAAACAACTTTTTTGTTACTTTTTTTTCTTTTGGTACCAGGATCCAACTCAGGATCTTGCCCTTGGGAGACAGGCAGCAAAACCACTGAGCTAAATCCCCGGCTAAAACAACTTGTGAAAAACAAACTTGGTCACAATACTGTCACAAAGAAACTTTTTTTTATAGTTGGACCTCATGCATGCTATCCATATGCTCTACTACTGAGCTATACTTCCACACTCCCAGGCTTTTTTTTTTTGCCCAGGCTGGCAAGAAGCAAAGATTCCCAAGTAGCAAAGATTAGTCATGAGCCACTGTGCATGGCCAGAAATTTTTTGGTTTCATTCTTACCTTTCATAAAAAAAATAAATACATAGGTAAAACCCATTAACACTGCATTCATGGTACTTCATGACTTGGCCCCTATGTGATTCTCCAGACTCAACTCTCACTACTACCCTGCCTACCCTTATCCCTGTATTTCAAACATCACTAACCACAATATTTCTTCCTTCTTCCCTCAACATATATTTGTAACTGGAACTTATTTTGAGGCTAAATGTCTCTCCCTATTTCTCTTTTTTAACCCAGCTCTCCTTTTTAACCACTCTTACCTATTACTGGGCTTTCAAGACAGCTTGAGACATAGAAAAAACACTTTATCTTGTACTCAACCAGGGAACTGAGAGTCCAGAAATGGTGATAAGTGGAAGAATGGAAAAAAAGATTTGTACTTTTAGTTGTACTTTTTCATAAAATTTGAATTTCCCCCATTTATCATTTTTTAATACAGTTGTTTAAAATCTAAATATTTTGCCTCCTCTTTTTTTTTTTTTTTGGTACTGGGGATGGAACTCGGGACCTTGAACTTGTGAGGCAAGCAGCAGAACTACTGAGCTCAATCCTTTTTTTTTTTTTTTTTTTTTTCATCCTCTTAAAGATGTTTTATAAGGCTCTCCTCTAAGGCTAGGAATGGAAATAGATTAACTCACATGATTATGTTATGTAAAGAATATTATGTAGATGGGTGTGGTATTGCACACCTATAATCAAGTTACTCGGAGACTAAAACAGAAGATTGCAAGTTCAAGGCCAGCCTGGCCAATGCAGTGAAGACTCTGACTCAAAATTTTAAAAAGCAATAAGGATGTAGAGAATACCCTTGGGTTTGATTCCCAATATGGAAAAGAAGGAAAGAAGGATGGAAGGAAGGAAGGGAGGAAAAAGGTATATCTGTTTTTGTCCCAGTTTGTTGGTAGGGAGGTCAAAAACATTAGAAATCTTCCTGAGAGACACAGGTTTCTTTCATGCTGGATGTGGTGGTACACACCTAGTCTGGCACTCCGGAGGTTGAGATAGGAGAAATGAGAATTAAAGCCTAACCTAAACTATGTAGCAAGACTTAATCTTAAAAATATTTTTTAAAATTCTTTTGTTATTCACAGTGGGTCCCCTTGGATTACATCTCAGTTTATGTAAATGAGGTCATTCATGGTAGGCCCATAGTTTCCATATAGAAGCTAGTCATATCAGAAGGCCCAACCATAAGAGTTGGAGCTTTCGGGCTCACTCAACCTCTTAAGAAGAAAGACTGGAGATGAAATCAAGCATGTGGTAACTGATGCAATAAGACCCCAGTAACATTCTGGACACTTGAAGCTTGACATGTTTATTTCCTGACTGGTAACACACTAATGCTCTGGGAGGCATTGTGTCCTGATTCTATGGGGAAAAGACATGGAAGCTCTGCATCTAGGACCCTTTTAGACTTTGTCCTACATGCATCCTTTATAATAAAGCTGCAATCGTAAATATCTTCACTTTCAGTAAATTCTTTTGAGACAGTCTAGGAAATTATTGAACTTGAAGACAGGTAATTTAGAGTTGGTCAGAAATGTGGGTGTGTTCCCCAAAACCTGCAAATGATGTCTGAAGTGAAGCCAGTCTCATGAAGGACTTTTCCTTTAACTTGTGAGACCTGGCGCTAACCCTAGGCAGCTAGTACCAGAAATGAGTGACCTGCAAGACAGCAGTGGGCAGTGTCTCACCAAAGCAGAGGCTTTGAAAAGCCAAGAGAAACTGCTATGATTAGTAATTTTTACCATGACAGCAGTTACGTAAGATATCAAGAGCACTGACATATCTGCCATCCTTTTAACATGTCAGCATTTGTATCTTTGTGTAAAAATGAGCAAGGGTAATAAAGCTGTGTGTCTACGTACCTGGTAGGCAGTTTTTCAAAATCAACATCTAAGAACTGCTCATAGCTAGAAACAAAACTGTCCAACCACAGCTTCAGGTAATCAGGATCTTTCTGAAATAAGAAAATCATTATATTAGGTATATTTGTCAGGGAAAATAATGCTTTTACAACCACCTAGTATCTAAAGAAACATTAATATGAAACCTCTAAGGAATATTCAAGAAGAGCTGTGTATTCTTTTAAAAAGTATACTAAATATAATGAAATGGAAACAAAGCTTATGTAAATAGGGAGAAGCAGGGTTAAAGGGAGCAGAGAGAAAAGGAAGAGAAAAAAGAATTGAGATGTTATGTACAGGTAAAAATTTCCTATGATGAATGTGATCAATATGTATGACAAATATGTACTAATGAATGTATTTAGGGCTTGGGATTATGCTCAGTGGTTCCACCACCTGCCTCACAAGGGCAAAGACCTGAGTTTGATCTCCGGTGCCAAAAAAGGTTTTTTTTTAAAAAAAAATGAGACCTCATACGGCTTGTCAATGAGCCAGTCTTACCAGTGTCCTGTGGAATTCTAAACAGTTTGCTCTCCTGTATCACTCTATGCCTTACCCCCACTGTTACTCTTATTATTGTTATTAGTTACACTCATGGCTATCCCTTGGACATGGCAGACTTCCACAATAAGGCCTTTTTCTCTACCCAAAACTCTTCTTCCAGACATCTGAATAGATGACTCCACCATCTTCTTCATTGTTTTTAATTTGTTTTAGGGGGTGGTGTTGAGACGGGGTTTTGCTATGTACTTCAGGCTGGCTGAACTCACTATGCAGTCCTGGCTGCCCTTGAACTGGTGGTGATACCCTAGCCTCAGCCTCCCAAGTGCTGGGGTTACAGGCATGCACCACCATGCCCAGACTTAAGTCATTCTTTAAATGATATATTCTCAGAAACAAAACTTGTCAGTGCCTTTACCCTACCCTTTTATTTCCCAACTCCATAGTAGTTTAATATATTGTGATTTATTTATTACGATCATATTCTCTAGGATATAAGTTTACACAGGATCTCTTATTTGTAGTGGATACCAAGCACATAAAACAGTGCCTAGCACCAACTGCTCAATAAATATTTGTTAATAGGGAGTACAGTGCTTGCTTCAGCAGCACATATACTAATATATTAAGTACAAAATACATGAATAGAATCAAACTGGAAATGAATCATTACTCTACACAAAAACTAAAACTAAAACTTCCCTCAGAAGATTCTTTTTTCTCTGGGACACAAAAATCATGAACCGAAAAAACTAGTTTTAAGTAAAATTAAGATCAAGCCTGTGCCTAGCTTGCATGAGGCCCTGCGTGTAATCCCCACCACAAATAAGTAAAAATAAACAAGCAAATACTTCTAGTCATCAAGACACTATCAAAGAAATGGAAAGCAGTGATGGAGATGTACTTCAGTGGTACAGCACTTATCTAGTATGCAACAGGCCCTGGGTTTAATCTTCAGTACCACACCCACACACAAAGGCAAGCCATATACTTGGTGAAAATATTCAAATATTCTCAAAGACTTTTATCAGTATCTGAATATGTACAAATAAATAACAAGTCAATTTTTAATTGGACACTTGACAAAAAGGATACACAAATGACCAAATAGCACATAAAAATTTGTTCATCATTAGTAATCCAAAGAAATGCAAATTACAACAAAAGGGAATATCATTATATGTATGTGTATGCATATTTATTTATATTTTCCCGCTAGAATGGTAAAAGTCGAAAAGGATGAAGATACCATGTTAGTGAAAATGTGGAATGACTGTAGCTATATGGAATATAAAATGGTATGATCACATGGATAACAATTTGAGTTTCTTTTAAACATATAGTAACATACAGCCTTTCCTCTTCCGTAGATATGAAAACACACTCACAAAAACACCTGCACAACAATGTGCATAGAAGCTTTATTTTTAACAGTCCAAAGCTGAAAACAAATTTTATCAACAGGTTAGTGGATAAAGAAATTGTAGCATACTCATATAATGCAATAGTATACAGGAATAAAATTCTGTGAATTTTTTTGTTTGTTTTGTTTTTTTGAGGCAGGGTCTCCCTTTGCAGTTCAGATGGCCTCGAATTCACAGAGATCCTCCTGCCTCAGCCTCCCAAATGCTGGGATTATAAGCATGTACCAGCACACCCGGCTGTGGGAATATTGACAAGAACAAATACAAATTTACACAACGTTCTGAGCAAAAGATGTCAGGAATCAACACATACATACTGAATTTATTTATATGAAGAGCAGGTCTAGGAGAGATTATGATGACAAGAATTAAATTAATGGCTGTCTTTGAGAGGACTGACATCAAAAGGGCAAAGGAAACTTTTCTAATGAATGGAAAATTTCCATTTTTTTTTCTTTGTGGTGCTGGGATCAAACTCAGGGCCTTATGCTGGTAGGCCACTGAGCCACGCTCCAGCCCTCAAATTTTCCACTTTTTTTTTTTTGCAAGGGGTCAGCGGAACCATGAGCCAAATCCCCAGCCCCTCCACTTTCTGATTTAGGTCATTAAGGTAATTTTGCATGTATCAAAATTCATCACCTTTTACACTGTAAACTTATGCCTTTTATGAACTGAACTCTCAATAAAGCTGAGTTTTTAAAAAAAACTTTCACAAATTTCCCTTTACTGCAATACTTTTTCCACCAATTCCAGCATGTGATTCAGCAGTCTTTAAACATCACAGTGTCAACACTGCTCTTGGATAAGGAACTTAAATTCCCTAAAATAAAAGTATTACACTGTAATTCAAAATTTAAAAGAATGTTCCCAGAATATGCAGGGACTGTTGACCTTTTGTGTGTTTATTTTTTCTATTAATGTACTCTTCCAAATGAGCTTGTAAAGTATTTCTATCACATTATTACTGAGAAATCAGAAGATGGAAATATTCTAGATAAGAACAACCTCTTGTGGGAAATTTTTCTTGGGGTTTCATTACTTGCTTTTTATATTTCTAATTAGAATGTCATTTAACTGCCATTCATTCATCCATCCATTGAGGATAGATTACAGAAATACTACAAGTATTTCATTATCATTTTTCCTTTCTAAAAGAGATAATTGCCTATTAGTAAAAATTAACACAAAATCATCACACAACCCTATACAGACATTTCTCTTCATATTTAAGAACTCTATAATATCTGGTTCAAGTTCTAAAGATCAGGAATACTAAGTATAAAAACAGAATTCTCCAAGGAAAGTGAGCAATTATAAGGAAAGAAATGGTATTATTTCATTTACAAGGAAATAAAACACTCAATTTTTAAAGCATGTGCCAAAAATGTGCTAGATGCCATTGCAAATATTTTGACATCCTATTAACTGCCTACAACTATTCAGAAAAAATATAGTTTTCCTCATTTTACAGGTTATAAAACTGTAATTCATGGACTTGCTGAAAATCATACAGCTATCAATTCCACAGTGCTGGGACTAAAGTGCAAGGATATACGAAACCAATATATGCTCTTTCCACTATACTACACTTGTCTTTTGAACATGAAGGATACGGAGCTTTAGTAAGCAAGGAGGAAAAACCTGTGAAAATAACTTACACAAAATAGTCATATTCTATGCAGCCTGAAAAAATCCTGAGAATTTTGCTGCAAAAAAAAAAATCATTAGAGGATAATTTGCTGTCAAAGCCCACAAAAAACAGGTCTCTACATATTCAGAAACAATACTAAATCTCCAACCTTAGTCACTTTCATGGTTAAGACAAACCTGGTATACTGAAACATCACAGTTTGGTCTCTATCCCCATTTTTACAATGTTTATTAACACAGCACACAAATACATTAAGTAATGCACGAGTGCTAGAGCCAATTCAACTGGACTGTCACTTTCTGGAACAAGTAAGCCCAGTAACAGGACCTACATTAAAGGCTGGCATGAGGCTATCCTATGTAGTGGTACATGCTGCTCAATAAGACAGTCATGTGCATACCTCTGGTAGCCAGTAGAAACTTATTAAACAGTCAGCACAGCCAGGTATTTATCAATCTTTCAAAACATGTTAGTTAGGGCCAGGGATTTAGCTCAGCAAGTGCAAGGATCTGAGTTCAATCCCTGGTACTAAAAACACACAAAAACAAAACCAAAAAACCATGTTAGCTACCATAACCACTACTGTATTATCTATCATCTACAGTACCATACACTCAAGTTTTTTAAATCATGAGTAAATTCTGTTAAAATCTTACATTTTCCTTAGGATATGACCATGAACAATAGAGTTATAGAAGAGATACTTATTTACTCTCAAACCCATTACATCCAAGTTCTCAATTAAAAACATATCCAGATACTGCTAGGTGTGGTGGCACACATCTGTAATCCCAGAAACTGAGGCAGGACAATTGCAAATTCAAGGCCATCCTCACCAACTTGGCAAGACTCTGACTCTAAATTAAAAAATAAGACTGGGGATATAGTACGTCTGGGTTCAATCCCTAATACCCCCCCAACACACACACACAAGTATATACAGATACAGACTGCTTATGGCACTCATCCTAAGAATGGATAGTAATTTATTAAATTTAAACCTATTCCTTCTTATCAATCTTCTCAAATACATGTGTATTTCCTACAACAAAATTAATTTGAAAATTGTTGCTTAAAAAGTATTTTTTCCTTACTCATTGGTTTTTCATCTTAAATGGATGTACTAGTTTATTTACTCCCACATAATTTACCTTGAAACAACAAAACGTGATGTTTTACAGCTTAAGGGGAAGAAATGCAAGACTCATTCAGTTTGGTGGTACAGATTAAGCTTTTCTCATAAACTAGTTTGTAATGACTGTGTCAAATCAGACTACAGTCAAATCAAAGCTTGACTGAGCTGGAGGCTTTAAGTGCACAACTAGAAGCACAATCATGTGATAACTGGCAAGAGACATCAGTTCTACAGAAAATGGGCCTCAGTAAGGCTACTAACAGAGTAGCTGGCTTCCCTCAGAATGAGGTGGAAACAACTTCACAAATGCCATACATCACTTTTGTCAAATTCTACTATGTG